GGAGGGGGCAGTGGGCACTGGAGCCTCAGGGCCCTGGCCAGGGAGAAGGGCAGGAAGAACACTGCCCTGTAGCTCCCGCTGGCAGCCACAGAGAGGCCATGACAGGAACAAGCAAAGCCCCTCTCCCCAGGCTGAACCAGGCCAGGTAGAGAGCCTGCATCATTCTCCCCAGGTGTGGTCCCCTCCAGGGCCACTCGTCAGCCCCTCGGGCAGGATGAACCCACTATAGCCCTGAGATGTGAGCAGCGAAGCCCACTTCTCAAGAGTTGTGAACAAAGGGACCGGGGTTCAAATCTTGGTTCTGCGCTACCAGCCCGGTGCCTTCAGGCAGATGAACCTCTCCAGGAAGGAGCCTCACGCCTTCCACCGTCAAGGGGGCGCTGGTGCCTGACCCACAGGCTGTCGGGAGGGTGACAGCTAATCCAGAAGTCACAGGATACAAAGGAGGCTGCTTCAACACCGCCACACTATGGACGCCATCGCAGCAGCCTCCGGGGTGTAGGCTTGGTCAGGGGGCTCTCAGGGCGCCCCACGAAGGGAGGCGAGGCTGCCGTGCGGCAGGGCCTCCGCTGCTCCAGCTGGCTTGCTGACAGCCGGTCCCTCGAGAGCGTGATTGTTCCAAAGCCCGGCCTGCCTTAGTCAGACTTGTCTCTCAAGTCTGCGCCAGGGGAGGGCAGAGCTGCACCATCCACGTCCCTCATCTCTGCATCACCACTGGCTCACTGGCACGGCTGCTGCAGAAAGTGGGGGTGACAAAAAGTAGGACTGGCAGGGAAGGGGGAGCACGGTGTGACCCCGGCTGGGCCAGCAAACCCCGTCCCCATGACGAAGCTCTGAGCTCAGAAAACGATGCCACGCCCCGTTTCCAAGAACCTCCAGGACCATGAACCCGGGAGCTGGGAGCGGAGGGTTTGCCCTGAAGCTAGAAGGCTGGCAGGTGTGTCCCGGGTCACTGGGCTCAGAGACAGGGCAGCTGAGGTCACCCGCAGATTCTGCCATCACTGGTAAGCCAGGGTCTACCTTTGGGACTCAGTTTCCTTATCTAAAAAAATGGGAGTGTGGTCTCTAGGGCCCCTCCCGGCCCTGCCCTCGCCAGCCACACTCCAGCTACACGCCAGGCCCTAGCTCGAGCTGCCCGCCCCCCAGCTCCCACCCCCGTCCGTGCCCGGGCCAACACAGATTCCTTCCACCCTCCTACTCTTCCTTTTGAAGGCTGCCCAATTGCCAGAGAGGCAGAGGAAAGCCCAAACTTTCACCACAAACATCTCCAAAGCTTCGGAGACAAAAATAAACATTCCCTGCTGTGCTGGAGAGGGCAGGGCTGAGCAGGCCACGCGGAGGGGACATCCCCGGGGGGGGGTTCACCCAGAGGTCTGGAGCGGCTGCTGTGGTGGGGCGCGGGGTCCAGCGCTCGGAGGGCTATCGGTCACCACTCAGAAGTCACTGGGAAGGTTCTTCCTGTCCCGACAGTCACTCGCAAAGGGCAGAGCACGTGGTGGATTCCTGACCTTTTCTACCCAGAGTGGGCCAGCCTGCCCCTTGGCCCAGTGACCGTGTCAGGGCCCTTGAGGGCAGCTAGTGCCGTCACTGGGACAGCCTGGCTTTCTGATCCCACGGGGCCAGGGCTCTGGTGAGCATGCAGCAGCCGCCCCCACTGCCCCCTCCACTACCCGCCCCCCCCCCGACCGTGGTTGCTCAGGAACTTGAAGGGAGGAGAGGAGGGGGGTGGACGGGTGGATGAAGAAAGGGGGGAATTTCCTTGAAGGGATGCTCCACTATTTTGAGCCAGTTTTTTCAGGAGCAAGTGGTAATTTGTCTTCCAGGTGAGTTGAAGGAGGCAGGCGGAAGAGTCCCGGTACTTTACCCAGACAGGAATGGGCCACGGCCACAGTTCAGGACTGACTGTCTCCCCCAGTGTCTGGGGCTCTGGCTTAGTGCTTAAAGGACCTGCTTCATCCTGGCTCTACCACTTACTAGGTGTATGGCCTTGGGCGGTGCCTTCACCTCTCTGGGCCTCAGTTTCTTCATCCGTTAAATGGGTATAATAATGATACCAACCCCTCACCTACGAGAAAATGCACAAAAAACCTACCTAGAACAGTACCTGTTTTATAGTTAATGTTCAGTAATAATGCCGCTGTTATTTTTAGACTATGAGACTCAACTCTTTTGCCTCAATTTCCCCCACGACCAAGCCGGCTTCAGAACAGGTCCCCTTCCAGGCATTATGTGCCGACACAGAGTGGGGTGTTTAGAAGGCAGGTGGCCATAGGAAGCAAGTGGGAGGAGAGAGCACAAGGGTCGCTTTGAGTCTGGAGGAAGATGCTGCTCTGGCTGCACTGACAACAGGTGGGCAGGGAGAACCTGGGAGGTGCCGCAGAAGGCTTCCAGACATTTGGAGTCCCGAGGGGCACCGAGCCCCGGCGGCCCTCCTCCATGTCCCTAGCACTGGGCCAGGCCAGCCCTGGGAGGGCCCAGCCAGTGTTGCTGAATGAGCAGCTGAGACGCAGGGCGCAGGGGAGGTATCGTGGGTCAGGAATCACAACGTCAGGCACCCTGCCCTGCAGCTGCCACTCCTGGGCTGTGCGTCCGGGGAGAACATATATGGTCTCTGAGCCTCACTTCCCTCATCTGTGAAATGAGGGGGCTTCATCGCTTCTCAGCCAGCCTAGCCGCCTATCTCTACTCCCCACCCCACTCCACCCCAGCCGCACAGCAGGCACATTCCGGCCTCAGGGAGCTGTGTGCAGGATCTTTGCTTCCCAGGGCTATCTGCACAGCTCACTCCCACACCTCCCTCACAGATTTAGCTCAAAAGTCACCTCCTCCGGGAGGCCTCCCTGACCACCCTATTTAAAATGGCAACCCCACTCCCCAACCTCAACACGCCCAACACCTGACTCCTCCCCTCACCTCCCAGTACACTGTGTCATTGGCTTATTTATTTAATTAGCTATTTGCCTTCCCCCTCCCTTTAAGTGTCAGCTCCATCGGGGCAAGAATCTTTGTTTTGTCCTGTGCCTGAGTATGTGCCTGGCACTTTGTCCAACGAATCATTTTTGGTGTAGTGCTCACAAACACTTTGTCCAATAATAAAAGTAAAGAAAAGCCGGAGACTGTGTGAGTTTGGGGCGCTACTGTTAATTCCACACCCCGGGAGGGGCAGGCCCTTTCTCCGGCAGAGGCGGGGCTATCGTAAGGACTTGGAGGGGCTGAGTACAGGATGGAGAAGCCGCAGGGGCCCTGGGGACAGGGCTCTGCAGACGACAGGTCAGAGATGTGGAACCAGCAGGTGGTGACAGCTGGACAGGGGTGAAGGGGCCTTGGCCTCAGCCCTCCGCCTCAGATTTGGAACCGGCTGACAGCACGTGGAGGAAGAAAAGCCAAGGCAGCTGGCTCCCAGGATGTCCGGGCCAGAGAGGACCTCAAGAACAAGACGACCCATCTCACAGATGAGACAACAGAGGCCTGGAGAATACCCAGTCTTATTTCCTAACATGCCGATAAGAAAAACCTTTCCTTTCTTTCTTGAGGTCTGGGGCTGCGGCTAAGGGATAAACAGTGCCCCCTCCTGGTTCTGCGACAAAACGCCCCCCGCCTTGTCCCTGGGATCTATAGGCTACAGGTCGTGGCCCCCTCTTCACAGGCCCCTAGGAGTGGAGGTCCAAGGGGCCACACAGGTTGGGTGGGCAGCGCCGGGACTTCTCCCCGCAGGCCGGCCCCAGCAAGAAGTTTGTCTAAAAGAAACCAAGCAGGAAGTGCGGGGCAGTGGGGTGGTGAGGCGGGGACTTGGCTACCTGCGCGGCGCCTTGGAGGGGCCTTGGGGTTCTCGGTCTCCGCCCTGCTCCTGCCCAGCTTCCATCGCTCGCTGGAGAAACCCGCTCCCCTTTGTGCTGCAGGAGATGGCGGAGATGGCGGGAACCTGTGATGGGTGGGGGCGAGGGAGAGGGCGAGGGGACCCAAGGCCAGCCGGGGGTGGGCGCGGCAGTCCTGGCGCTTCCTCTACAGACCCCCAGGGGTAGGTGCGAGCATTGTGCCCACGGCAGGGGCCCAGCCCACTCGGCGCCCGGCCAGTGGCCGCACACTGCCCCCTTCCTGCAGCTAGCACGACTTCGGGAGAGTAGGGGGCGTCTCTCTCCACCTGTGCTTCCCCTGCCCACCCGACTAACGGGGGCTTGGGCGCGGCCTCGCCTCGGTTTCCGCCCGCTCCTCTCCGGCCGGCTTGGGGACTGGGGTCTCTCCCAGCCTTGCCCCTGCGCCTCCAATCCGTGCCGTATCTCCCGGCTCCACACACTCACCCACTTTCTGAGAGCCGGGCCTGAGCGCGGAGGTCCCCAGGCGGGGAGCTGCCGGCTGTTCGGCGCCCCGGGTCCTCCGGCCCAGCCCCCGCCCCTACGATCCCCGAACCAGAAGGTCGGGCCAGACCTGTGGGCGGCGGGAACTCCGCCACCACCTCCGTCCGCAGCCCTGCGTAGGGGGAACTCGCAAGTTTGTACCGCGCACTCCTCCGGCCGGGGAACAATGGCGGGAGGGGGGAGGGGACAGAGAACCGAGCGCGGGGGACAGAGTCAGACCCCAGGGAGACGGAAACTGCTTTTCGCTGTTTCTCTCCTGCTCCGAAGCAGAGAGCGAGAGCCGGAGAGGCGGGGGCCGAGCACGAGATAAAGGGTCCAAGAGAAAGGCGACGGTGGGGGGAGGAAGCCGGGGAGAGAGGGAAACCGAGTCAGAGGGACGGGCAGCGAGGGGACCCCGCGAAGGGGAAAAACGGAAGGGGCTGCGGGACGGCGCCCGGGAGAGCCGGGAAGGGGAGCCCAGGGGTCCCGGCCGAACCCGCGGGTGCCAGCCGTCCTGGGGCGCCTGGCTAGCGCGCACGGGGTCCTCGCCGCCCCCTGCGGTCCCGGCGCCCGCGGGAGCCGGCCGGGTTGCGCTGCGCAGGCGGCGGCCGGCGGCGGGAGGGGAAAGTGCGAGGCCGGGAGGCGGCGGCGGGGAGCAGAACTTACGTGGCTAGCGCGGGCCCGGCGGACGCTCCAGCCTCGGGCGCTCACATCGCGCCGCCCGCGCCGGGCAGGGCAGGGCAGGGCAGGAAAGGGCCGGCTGGACTGAGCGCGGCGCCCTGCGCGGCCGGGGCTTACCCGAGTCTAGCGGCCCGCGCTGGTCCCTCCTCTCGGATCCGCGCGCAAGCCAATGGCGCGCCGTCCCCTCCCACGCGCCGGGCTGCCTCGCCCCCGAGGGTGGCCGCCGGGGCGGGCGGGATGGGGGTGGGGGAGGCCGGGCTCCCCGGCTCCCCGGCCGAGGCTTTCCTGGAGGCCGCCTGCGGGGGGCGCGCTCACGCCCTGGGAGATGGCGCCTGGGATTGGAACCAGGGCGCGGGGACACCCTGGCGCGGCCCGCGCCGCCCAGGAAGAATTTTTTGGCAAGTTCTGAAGACGGTGCCCTGTTTCCTGGGACTATCCACATCCCCATAGGTTGGCAAACCACAGTCTTACATATCCTCGCGGTGTCTCCCGGAGCCCGGCCCAGTGTCTAAAATGGAAGGGACTGTTTTGGCTCTTAGTGATACCCAAGTGTGTAATGACACAGTCACGACAATGGTTACCGTTTGCTGAGCGCCTGCTTGGTGTAAGTATCAACTCATTTGATTTTCACAACCCATGAGGTCGCTATAATTAGTCCCATTTCACAGACGGTGGTCATTAATGTTTGATTTCATTTAGCCTCAGGCCTCCAACCTAGGGCGGCGGCTTGGTGTGACTTGGCCAAATAACATGACCCCACCAACATACTCCACCCTACAATGCAGCTTCAGCCGTGCTGCTGTAAATTGCACTGTCGGGGGAGGAGGATCTTATCTGGGGCTCTAGGATGGATGCTTGTGGGGGCACAATTGTCAGACCTTTTATCTCTACACATCCTGTGGGGACAGAGGGTAAAGATGGGGTTTGGGGGTTCTGGAGGTTGTGCAGTGGCCTGTCAGCCTAAAAGTACTGGGCTCCTACACACACACACACACACACACACACACACACACACACACTTATGGTGGGGAGATAACGTGTTCTCCCACCCCAAGTCTCAGCACCCTGTGCTCTCCTTAGAGAATGTCTGAGTCTCTTCATCTGGTCGGATAGTCACTGCCGGCTTGGAAGTGAGGTGCGGGACTGAGGGGAGAGGAAGGCAAGGCCGATGCGATGACACGCTCTGTTTCACAAGTAAATAGGACAGAGAGAGGTGAGTGCCTGCCCCAGGCATCTAGCTAGGTGGGCATTCTGACTCCAGGTCTGACTTCTTTCTGCACCAGTTCCTTAAGGGTTAAGCAGGCTCTGGAACTGCTTTGTCTGGATTCAAATTGTGGCTCCGCCTTTTAGTGACTGTGTGGCCTTGGGCAAGTTAATCACTTAGAGTGACAAAAGGCTGTAGAGATTTAGAGTTAATAGTGGCAGGCACCTGTGCACTTACTGAGCTCTGAGGATGCCAGCAGATTCCCACTGCCCTCACCAGAGCTGGGACCGGGCAGGAGATCTGTGCCCTTTGCAAGGAAGTAAACAGAACAGTGCCTAGCTCATAGTGAGCCCTCAGCGACTGGTAGCTGTCCTGATTACCAAGGTAACCAAACTCTGATCCCGCAGTGCCACCAGCCCTGCTCTCAGACAAACACCTGATCAGTGAAAGCCAATAATGAATCAATGAATGAATGAATCAAAGTACGTGGCTCCAGATCAGGATTGTGTTTAGGTGTGTTCAATGAAGCACAAACCCAAGAGCCACCTGACCTGGGCGCTCTATAGTAGTCTGTGCAACAACTCAGACTCTCAGTTTTAGCAGAGCTGGGTCACGCGGGGCCGACGAATTCATCTGTTGGAGCCTCTTCTGCCTCTGCAGCATGCGGGGCTCTGGGTCGCCGAAGGCAGGGCCCCAGCCTCGCTAGTGTACAGTGTCCTCCCTGACTTGGAGATACCTCCCAGTGCTCCATTTGGTGTGACCCTAAAGAGTAGAAGCAGGGTCAGTCTGTGTGGGTGACGCCAGAGAGCCCGACCTTACATCAGTAGGAAGGCCTTCGTAACAGTCACTCCAAGATCTCCAAGAGGCTGCCTTAGGAGTAATGAGGGCCCTGTCCCCAGCAGCATGCAAGCAGAAGCCAGGGAAGAGTTGATGAAGACATCAAAGGAGGGATTCCCACCTTAGGTGGTACTTGGTGTGGGTAACCTTTGAGCTCTGGCTGTGCTGATTCTGCATTCTCTCAGTTTCCCAAGCTTATCAGCGGGACGCTGTGGAGGCTGGGAGCACTGGCTGGGCCAGGGCCGCCCCACCATCCTTTGGGAGGGAGGTGATCCTGACTGGGCCCTTCCTGTGTGCCAGGCAAGGTGTTGGTGCTGAGGCCCCAGGGATGAACAGGACACTGTCCCTGTCCCTGGAGGGCTCCTAGCCCCTGGGAGAGGGACGCACATATGGCAGCCAACAGCAGCAGCAGAAACAGCTCAGACTAACAGGCAAAATGTTGCGGGGCCCTGAAGCACCCATTGGAGATTCTTATTCCCTTCCTTCTATACCCTTTTCCAAAGAAACATGTGTCCAGTTCAGAAAACACTCCTCGGGCTGCCATTCTGCCCTCAGCATCTTTGAGTTACCTCGTCTTTATATTGGGCATAAAGAAACTCACCTTGTCGAGCTGTCGGGAAGATTAAAACTGACGTTCATTAAGTGCACCCCGATGCCCAGCAAGAACAGGTGCGTGGCACAGGTAATAACGCGGTGAGGATGAGAGGAGGCGGTTAGGACCCTGGCTCTGCTCCTAACCAGTTACGTGACCCTCTGCTGTGTGTGAGAAATGGAGATACAAAAATACCTGCCTCTCAGAGCTTGTGAGAGTCAAGTGAGGTGATTTGATGAAAAAGGTTTGCAAACTGGAAATGCTGATTTCTATTATTATCATTATTCTTACCGTGGTGAAGTGTTGCTCTCAAGGCCCCAGGATGGTAGGTGTGGGGGGGGCAAAGCCAGAGATGCCAGGGGAGTGTCACTCCCTCCAGACTCCCACAGGAGCCCAAGAGCAGCTGGGGCTCCATCTGCCCTGGCCACCCTCAGCACGGGTGGTGCACCTCCTTTGTGCCCGGGTGTGAGTGAGTGAGTGCGTATAGAGTGCCTGTGTGTCTGTGTTTGTGCCCACGCAGGTGGGCGTGTGAAGGTGGGGTGGGCACAGGGACGTCCAGTGTCTGTGGCCAGAAACCACGTGTGGATTGTGAATCCCTGAGGAAGAATGAGGAAGTAATTGGATTTCAAAGATGCTTACAGCGAGACTCGTGTTAGCGCCCGGCAATGGAGGAGAAGGCTGGGGGAGTGGAGTCGGGCCTAGTCTTTGGGGCTAGGCCTGGGGATAGAGGTCTCAGCAGTGACCCCCCTCTCTGGGGATAGGGGGGAGGCATGTAGAGGAAGATGATGTGGTCAGAGGCCTGTTGTGGCTGAGCCCAGGGATTTTGAAGCTGACAGACCTGGGTTCAAATCCTGGTTATAGGACCACAGATCAGTGATTTCACTTCTCTAAGCCTCAGTTTCCTCATCTGTAAAATGGAGATGATGATAGGGCCCACCTCATAGGGGCTACTGGAAGTTCAACAGAGAGGATGCATGTTAAGCCCTTAGCATGGAGCAGGCACATTGTAAGTTCTTGTTGCTGAGGTTATTATTAGGCAGATCAGAAGGAGGAGGGGAGGGAGAGGGCCTTGGGAATGCTGCTGTTTGTAAACTGTAAAGAGTTGCTCCGGGAGAGAGTTGTCAGGCCAGGGTTAGTTGAGGCTGCCACAAGAAGCGCCATCGTGGCCCAGCAGAAGGGCCACGTTGCAGGACACAGGGAGTGAGGCCGAGGAGCTGCCTAACGCCTCTCCTAACGCCTTCCTGTCCCACTCCTGGTTCCCCTCACGGCCGCCAGAGCTTCCTTCTCTGTGAACCTGCCTGGTGAGCAGACCCCTGGGGCTCTCCTCTCCACCCCTGGGGGTCCCAGACTGAGCACAGCCTTGGGGACTGGAGAAGCAGCTGGGCGCTCAGGATTCCCCAGGAGGGCCTCCCCAACACAGCCTGCCCCTCCTCCAGCTCAGGAGCCTGAGCAGGTCTCCTCCCTGCCTCCCTGCCTCCCCCAGGCCGCCCTCCCTCCTGTGAGTCATCCCTTCCACACCGTTGTTGCTCCAGGACGATGAAATGTCAAGCATTTGCTTACCTGTGGGAGCCAGCACTGATCAGGATGGGGGTGGGAGCAATGAGGCTCAGCCTCCCCAAAGGAAGACTGTGACAGCTCAGGGAAGGAACAGAAGACGGTGGCCAGCCCTGCTTCCTGTCATGGGAGGCTCAAGGGGGCAGATAAGAGTAGGATTTGGGAGTTAGATCATCCTGGATTTAGGTTCAAGGCCCTAGGCCTCTGCCAACTAGCTCTATGATCTTAGGCAAGTTACTCAGCCTCTCTGAGCCTTGGTTTGTTCATCTGTCAAGTGGGAAAAAGAAAATCATGAGGATGCACAGGGTCCTTGGGGGATTGGGTGAGACTGCATGTGTAAGCCCTGAGCTCACGGCCTGGCTCACGGGACGGGCTCGCTAAATGTTCATTGACTCAACGAGTGAATAAAAACGGGCAAAGGCAAGGGGGGGGGGTGGAGGGGCCCATGTGACTGTCTGCAGGAGAGCCGCCCTCCGCCAGCTGGGAGAGTGGGGGAGAGGTCTGGGGACCCTGTGTTCTAGGCCTAGGACACCTGTTGCTCTGTGCTGGTGCTGAAGAGGCAGCTTCCGAAGCTCAGAGTGGATGGAATGTGGACTGCCCCTTGGGGCACAGCTGACACCTCTGCAAGCCACGTAAGAGCTTCGGGCTGGGTCCAGATTCTCTGGAAGCGCAAAGCCCTAGCCAAGAAAAGAATTGCTGTGGGGAGAAGGAGTGTAGCAGATTTTGGACCCTCAGCTTGCGTGACCCCAAGACCCCTTCACAGCGAGAGCCCACAGCAGCCACTCTGGGCTGCAGGATCGTTGTCTTGGACCCTGGGCTGCCAGCTAGGGCTGTGGCTACTAGGAGCGTTATGTGTATTTAATCCTAACAAATCTCAGGAAGTTGGTATCATTATTTGCCCCATT